CATTTCATTTAGGTCATGGAAATGTTTCCTCCATAATGATAATGTAAGTATTTGATTATCTTTTGGACTTGGTAACTCTCAAAACTTAAAGCTAATTGATTTTCACAAGATTATATGCTTCATTGATTTTGTGACTTTAATTAAGGGAACATGTTAGAGCTTCTCTAACCATTTTAATACCTAAGAAGAGTTGAGGTAATTTGTGCTGATGAATTGCCATAGCCAAGTTAAACCAATTCACAAGTGTTATTCCATTTAGTCTAATGATAAGTCAACCATGTCATCCATGTGGAGTATCCCAAAATCAACCAATTTCACTTCATTGTATTTAAGAAAATCTTTTACTTGTTTACTTGTCATATTTTGTGTTAGTATAGTGTCTTCATTTTCATCCTTGTAAGCTTCCTATAAAGAAAAGATTAGATACAAACGATGTGGTTGAGGCTCGAGTTGGACTCTATTCCCTTAAACAGATTTGCCGTCTGTTCCCAGGGTACAATAACCTAAACAATATTGTGTACTGTCGGATATCACCACTTGCCTGAAAGAATGGCCGGAAGCAGGAGCGCAGAGAAGGAAGAAGAAGAAGAAGAGTAATTTCATTCGTGTATCTAAATGAGAAGGAAAGGTCTTCTTTTATAGTTGAATCGTGAAACGGAAACAAATCACTAATTGATTGAGCGTTTAATGGCAATAAATGTCATTAATTACGCAGTTAATGCATCCGTTACAGAATTCAAAAATAGGGACCAAAACTGTCAAGTTTAGCAAAAATGAGGGTAGCGCGTGCCCGAGTTTTCAGAGCTGCATTCGTGTCTGCAGGTCGTGCCCATGCACGAGTTCGTTTTTTTTGTCTACGGAACCAAGATTTGCACCCCTCCTGCGCGTGGGTAGGAATTGTAGCATAACCATACACACAAGCTTGTAAGCCTTCCATGCAATGGAGCTTATAAACCTTGTTGAGTTTGGTCTCTCTACCAATGTGGGACTCATTCCCACATTCCCCTCTTTTGCTAAACTTATTCTCAAATACCCATGTTTGAGTATCGATATCTCATTCACTTATACTCTTTTTTGGACATATAATATATCGTTTCAAAGTCCTCATGGAGTAGAACACAAACCCACTTAGATTTCGTTATATATACAACATATGTATATATTTATATATGTCTAAAGTTAGTAAAAAATATAAATATTATACTAAATTTCCAACAATCCCCCACATGAATGGAGATCGATCTCTGTACATCCAATTTCCAAACGAAATTTTCAACAGTTGAATCCTGCATAGGATAAGTAGGTATTACCCTTTGAACCCTCCCTTAAGAAGTTACACTTAATCTCCTAGCAGTTAGTAGATCTCGATGTCTTTGAACTAAGCTACCATTTATGTAGACGACAATGTAAATCTCACAGGATTCTCCCTGACAAAGTCATATCCTCGTAAACATGTTCGTTTTGGTCATGAACACTAGCCTGGTTCTGCAAGAGCTTTAGGAATTGTGCCCCTATAATTCCCCTTAAAGCGACCCCACTTTTCTCTCACATAGGTGATTCCAACAATCATTAAAAACCATATGTTTAGCATAATTTTTTCACTACATATAGGAATGGACTAGGAAGTAATGTTAACTCCCCCACAGTGACATGCCTCACTCATACCGTTAGGTTATCCTTTTGAACCCGAGTCTTGGGATCTCCAGCCTTCTGGGTAAGGTTTCCTTTGTATGAATGTATTCATTCATGGGGTTTAGTCCCATTCCTCTTGACGACTTATAAACTACATCTCTATTCAAGCCTCTAGTAAGCGGATCCGCAATGTTATCCTTTGACTTCACCCAATCAACCGTGATAACCCCCGTAGAGATTAGTTGTCGTATCTTTTTATGTCTACGTCTAATGTTCCTTGATTTCCCATTATACATTGTACTTTCAGCTCTACCAATTTCCGATTGGTTATCACAATGTATACATATGGCTGTTACCGGCTTAGGCCATTCGGGAATGTCCTCTACAAATTGACGTAGCCACTCCGCCTCTCCAACACAAATATCTAAGGCGATAAATTCAGATTCCATCGTGGATCTAGATATAACTGTTTGCTTGGATGATTTCCATGCTACAACAGCACCTCCAAGTGTAAACACATATCCACTTGTAAATCTAGAATCTTTTATGTCTGATATCTAATTTTCATCTGTGTATCCTTCGATAACTGCTGGATGTCTACCATAATGCAGTCCATATTCTCGTGTGTATCTCATATACCTTAGCACCCTAGTAATACTCTTCTAGTGTTCAGAACTGGGTTTACTAGTCTATCTACTTAGTCTGCTCACAGCGTACGCTAAGTCAGGTCTGGTACAACTCATTAGATACATCAGACTGGTAATAATTCTTGAATATTCCACTTGATCAACACTATCACCTCTATTTTTACGTAGATGTTGACTAGTGTCAATTGGAGTTCTAGCTATGCTAGTATCTCCCTTAGCAAATTTTTCAAGAATTTTATCCACATAGTGTGTTTCACTCAAAATCAAACCACTTCGGGTTCTTGTGATCTTCACTCCAAGAATCACATCAGCTAAACCCATATCTTTCATGTCGAACCTGGATTTCAACATATCCTTCGTGGATCTTATTATCTTGTCATCACTACCAATGATAAGCATATCATCAACATACAAACACAAGATGACATATCCGTGAGTGGTGTTTTTTACATAGATACACTTATCACACTCATTGATTCTAAAGCCACTTTCCATCATGACTTGATCAAACTTTTGATGCCATTGTTTAGGAGCTTGTTTTAATCCATATAGAGACTTAACAAGTTTACAAACCTTGTTCTCTTGTCCTAAGGCAATGAATCCCTCAGGTTGCTCCATATAAATTTCTTCTTCCAACTCCCCATTTAGGAAAGCCGTTTTCACATCCATTTGATGAACTTGCAAGTTTCTGATACCTGCAATGGCAAGAACTAATCTAATGGATGTTATCCACATTACCGGCGAATAGGTATCAAAGTATTCTAGACCTTCCTTTTGTCTATAACCTTTGATTAATAGTCTTGCCTTGTATTTATCAATACTGCCATCAGGTTTCATCTTTCTCTTAAAGATCCAACGGTAACCTAGTGGCTTGCTACCCGGAGGTAGATCTACTAGTTCCCATGTATAATTTTGTAAGATAGAGTCTACCTCATTTTTGATGGATTCTTTCCATTGAGGTCCCTCAGAAGAAGTTACTGCCTCTCGGTAGGTTTTAGGTTCACTTTCCATCACATAGGTGAAAAAATCATCACCATATGATTTTTCAACTCTAGCCCTCTTACTTCTTCTGGGTTCTATCTCTTACTCCTCGGATTGAGCTTGTTCTTCCTCTCAAACAACTTTGTTATTTGGTAAAGATGGGCTTTCAACTTCCTTGTTCAAATAGGGAAACACATATTCAAAGAATGAAGCATTTCTTGATTCCATTATGGTATTCTTGTGTATTTCAGGATTCTTAGAATCATGCACAAGGAACCGATAAGCAATATTGCTTTGTGCATACCCAGTGAATACACAATCCACTGTTTTAGACCCTAACTTTTGTACCTTAGGAGGTGGCACTACAACTTTAGCTAGGCACCCCTACACTCGTAAGTACTTATACGATGGCTTTCTTCCCATCCAAAGTTCATACGACGTTTCATGCTTTTCTTTGCTAGGTATCTTATTTAAAAGATAGTTAGCTGACAAAATAGCTTACCCAACATTGAATGGTTTATACCCGAACTAATTATCATGGCATTGATGTAACAACGTGAATTTTCAAAACAAAATTTTCATTTTTGCAAACATCAAAACCATCGTTTAATATTCTGAAACCAAATGTGTAACAATGTCATCATAACAAAATACACTACAAGAAAAAGAGCCTTTAACGACGCGCAAACCACGACACTCGGTGATTTATGTTACGCAAAAGGGAGTGATATTAAAAAAGTGTCATCTCTTCAAAAAATTTAAGGATTTATGTCACGCATTATTGTGTGCCCTTAGATTAGTGTCTCATGTAAAAAAAAATAAAAACACGGAGGGCACTTTATCTAAAATGTGCGCCCTCTGTGAATGTCGCTTTATGTTTTACTCAAAACGTGCGTTCTTGAAAGGGGGAAATGAAATCCCCAAAAATTAAAACCCCGCCTATTCCATGTGAAAAATTAAAACTCGCTCCTCTTCGTCTTCCTCTCTCTCTCTCTCTCTCTCTATCTCTCTCTCTCTAACCTAAAAAGCCAACCTGCGATTTCATAGAGATTGTTATTTAGATTTAAGAAGAAAAGAAGAAGACAAGCAAGGATAATACTACTAAATTCCACAAAATCGCAGGGACTAGGGCTTTTTTTCAAGAACGGAAACACTTGGTGCTCTCTGGCCTCTGCAACAATCGATCGATGATCTCGCCTCACCTCGTCGGCAACATCTTTGCTCACTTCTCCTTCAACGACCTTAGGGGTATTTTCCTCCGGCGACCTCGGGCTCATGTGACCTCGTCAGAGACTGCTCAAATTTCCACACCCTAGCCCGACTAAGATATGCTATGTTTATTCTCTCTTCCTAATGTTTTTGTTCTTCTATTTCTTTAATCTCTCCTCTATTCATAGCTTTGATTTCGATTTTGGATCTTCTCATCTTCTCCTGTGAAAACCCTAACTCAAAAACTATGCAGGTTTCAATGGCGATTTCCTTATCATTCCACAGTCCTCACTTCTACTCTCTAAGCATCTCAGGTATGCTTTGTTCCTTCTCCCTTATTTTAATTCTTCTTGTTTGATTTCTTAGGTGCGTTAGGGTTCGGATGTTTCACCTTTTCCTAAACCAAAATTCCATTTATTCAAGATACAATCTTCTGTGCTAAATTATATTAATTCAATGACATATGTCGGTTAGGTTTTCACAAGGTGAAATTTTAGGAATCGAAGATGGGTAGGTACAGTGATAACGAAGATGAATTTTTTGACGCCCGTGAGGTGTTTGCTTCAATGTCTGACTCAGGCTCCGATTGCTCCCCAGAAGACTGTATTGGCCCGTGATGAACATGAAGTTCAGCAGGTTATTATATCTGAATTAAATGATGGGGTATGATTATAATCATGAATCTGAGTGTGTTTGTTGCAAGCTTCGCATTTAATGATTAGTTAAAACCATGTTGAAATTTGACTATTTGAGCAACATTTGGAGTAAATCTTAGGTTTAAACTCCAGCGTATTGAGTGTAAATTAGGATAAATTGAGAGGCAAATTTGGGTTTCTATGTTTGATAGCTGATAACATATCTTACTTCAAAACTAGGTCCACTAATTCAATGTTTCAGGTTTTGTTTTCAACTTCTAGAAAAATGAATTTTAGACATTTTGTCTTGCATTGCTAACATGTTCCAAACTTCATAATATTAATTAGTGTTCATGATTGTTCGTAATAGTTTGCTGTTGATTATTGATAGTCTTTCTTCTCCATCTTCTTTCATAAACTGCGACTCTTAGGAATTAAACTTTTATTTGGTTTCATGTAGGTCTACAAGAGAGGAACAGTTGGAAGATCCAATTATATTGATGCATACACGGGAAGGTTTGGAGTTCCACATATGGCTTTCAACTCCATTAATTCAACCATAAACAATGGTGGTTTATTGAACAGTGGTGTTTGGGCTCCACCACAACCAATTCAGCAAATGCGGACGTATACAAGGGTCAGATTAGATATTAACTATTCTAGCGTTATCTGTATATTTGTATAGTCATAATTTGAATTAATTTTATGTTATTTTAACCCTAAATAAAATAAAATAAAAGAAAGCACTATATAACTAAGCTAAGAAAGGGAAAATGACATAAGAAACCTTGTCATTGAAAATAGCTTTAGAAAGTTTGTCAAGTCCAATTTTGTAGTGTTCATGTGTCTTTTAGCCTCGTATGTTTTAAGTCTTAGGAGTTAAACTATAATTTTGGTTCATGTAGGTCTACAAAAGAGGAGCTATTGGAAGATCAATTGATATTACTTCATATTTAGGGTATGATGAGCTTAAACAAGATCTTGCTCGAAGGTTTGGTATCGAGGGTCAACTGGATGGTCAACAGAGAATTGGGTGGAAACTTAGGTATGTGGATCATGAGAACGACATTCTCCTTGTTGGGAATGACCCTTGGGAGTAAGTCATATATATGCTATTAATTTACAAATGATGACAAATAGGGCCACTGTGTACCTGATTTATATCTCACAAACAAACACTGTGTTTGTTTATTTGATATATCTGTTTGATGGTATATTAATATTTATGACTTTGGTTTTCGTATATGCATTTCAAAGAGTTTGTAAGCTGCGTAAAATCCATCAAAATCTTATCTCCTCAAGAAGTTCAGGAAATGAGCTTGGATGGTGAATTTGGTGGGAATAATGTTGTTCCAAATCAAGCTTGCAATTCTCAACATGTTACTTCTACATAGTTTGTTGATTTCAAATCACTTCACCCATACAGGACTTAATGGGGATTGTTACATTTCAACATATAAGTAACAACCCCTACCCTTTAAACAATATTAAAAAAAAGGAAAACAGGAAAGGAGATTTTGTGGGTGTAGGTATGCTCAACATGTATTGCATATTTTATCTTGTTTTGACTGTGGCCTCCATATATGATATAACAGGACCAGGGTCCTGATTTCTGTGATGCAAAGGAAGGACAACATTTCAGAAGTATGGGTCCACATGATTCAACATGGTTGCCACCATATAGTGTTAAAAATTACCCTGATTCTTCATATTATGGTTCCAAAAGGCAACAGGTTATAACCTAGTTCTATTTATGCCCTTTTTGCATTTCCACAGAATTAAGGATATGGTATCATCTTTCTGTTTTCACATTTTTGTTTATTGCAATTATAAGAGTATTTTGGTATTCTACTTTGTTTTTTTTTTCTTCCAATAATGGGGTACTTTGGTCTTTTAATAAAAAAAGAATGGAATTGTTGAGTAGCTTTCAAGAATATGAACGGAATTGTGTTCATTTTCAACCAAGCATGAAACTGAATAGAATCTCACATGAATTTGTGGTGTTTTTATAGCATAATATATTGGGCATGGAAGGTCAAAAAGGAGACGGAGAGCAACCAAGTAATGTTTTGGTAATATGAAAGGTGGATAAATCATAGCTACCTGTTTGATTCTTTTTTTGCTTTAAGATTCTACAACTTCTTGAGAGAACAAAACTAGTGTTTTTCAGCATCTAATCAAGGCTATCCCCCATTATTTATCTTTATATAATAAGAATATTTATTTATGTTGTTCAAGGTCCTTGATTCCAGGTTTCAATCTAGCAAATAGTAGGATATGCTATAATTATAAGAAACAACATTTTGTAGTTTATATAGGGTTAACTCTAAAAAATAGCAACACCCGTATTTATTTGTTTGTTATAGTTTCTTACCTCTTTCTCCCTATTATAGCTTTGTGCTTTTACTTTTCTGCTGTTTTTTAATTTTTTTTTCACTTGCATAATTTGAAATTGGGGTGTAAACTCAAACAGTTAAACTTTATCTATGGATATGACAATGCAGTTATCTGAAGGAAGAGTGGAAATAGAGGAAACACGAGGCATCTGATGACATATGCCAAGATTTGATAATTTGAGATTTATTTCACTAGAGGTAAGATGTGAATTTAGCCCTTTTTGTAATTCATTTAGGTTTATCATGTATTTTTAATGTTAAATTCGGATTTTGATTATTATGTTTTATGCAGGTTGTCATTCGGTTATCTAGTTCTTTCCTTTAACTCATCTTCAAAAAATCAAGAACATGCAACAGATTCAGGTAATATATTGCTTTTTCTTCCATAGTATCCTTAAAATTTAAGATGTCTCTAGTTACATTCAGTTTGATTTAACTGTTGGTTAACTTTATTAAGTCTGGGCTGCTTGTTGAATATTCAACTGTCTCGCAGGAATCCGAGACAGCAACACTTGATGCAATATCAAAATCAAAGTTTGGAAATGTATGTGCTTAAGTCTTATTTGAACAATGTTTTTTAGCAATCCAGGACATCCTTTTGTTTTGGTCTTACTGTGGCAAAGCTTTTTGTTTTACAGTGGATGAAAACATTTGACACCAGTAGTGCACTAGATAAATTGCGAAAGGTCAGTCCCATTTGCCATCTTTTGTATCCTGCTTTTCCATTTAAATATTTAGTCATTAACACCTTTTTAGGTCTTAGGAAAAGGAAAGGAATTCTTAACAAAGTTCAATTATTTATGTCCTTTTTATGATAGATGGCATCTGCTTTATCATCACTTACCAAAAATTTAAAGTTTATGTCTTTTTAATATCTTACATGTTTTTTTTCAGTCATTGCAACTTGAAAGGCTTGCAATGTATCATCATTCCAACCGACCTCCTTGGAAGGTGGATAAGAAATGGGAAGATCTCAGTCCTAAAGACTGGGTTGGGTGATTGAAGGTGATGTTGGTTCTTGACACGAGACTAGAGATATCATATTTTGGCATGGCTAGAAGCTTTGGAGGAAACAAGACTCAAGCAAAAGTAAACACACAGAGAGTTGTTGGCACATAGTAAGCTAGATGATGCAATTGTATATAAATGAGTTCATTTTTTTATAACATTTACTCACTATTGGAATAATTATTTGTATTTGACATATTAGTGAAATGAATTATCTTTGTCATTTATGGTAATTTATTTTGTATTATGAGATTCTTAATGTATTATTTAATTTGAAAATGTAAATCTATAAATAATATTTTTTTAAACATTTAAAATTATGATACGCAAAAATGTGTGTCATCTTCATTTATGACATGGCCTTTCTTGACAGGGGCTTTCTTGATACGCATTGCGTGTCATTAAGACACGCGTCATAAGTTTACGACACGCGAATGCAAGTCGTCTTCCTTTATGACAGGGCCTTCCTTGATACGCATTGCGTGTCGTAAACGCACGTCGTAATTGCGCGTCATAAATGAGCGTCGTAAATGCGCGTCGTCTCTCTTTATGACAGGGCCTTCCTTGACATGCATTTGCGCGTCGTCTGAGCCTTTTACGATGCGCAATGAGCGTCGTAAAAGGCTGTTTTTCTAGTAGTGATACATCCCATGATCATAAAAAAAACAGTTCCTTCGTCAGTGTGTACAAATCACGCCGGCGCCTTCCCACGGTCCTCGCTAGTACCTGAAACACATAACACAACATCTGTAAGCATAAACGCTTAGTGAGTTCCCCAAAATACTACTTACGCACATATGCCTTTCCAGGCCCTGACCTTCCGGTCCATGTGTCTCAGGGGACTTCCATCCCGACTCGGTAAACCTTCCGGTCCTACCTGCGTCAACCTTATGGTCCACATCACAACGCTTTTCCAGCCCATAACATATACGCCTTCCGGCCCATATCAAGCATATCATACATAGCACATATAAACGATTAACTTATCATATACAATGCATATAACTCATAACATATCCGACCTTCCGGTTACACAATAAAACCCTTCCGGGTACAGTATAGTGAGAAAGCTCACCTTGTGGAAAGTCTAGAATCTCGCGTACTCGCTATCTCCAAATCCCAACGAAGACTCAACCTCGCCTAATCATAACGAATATTATTTTAATTAATATAGACTTCCAAAACTAGACTTTACCCCTTATCATCATTCCTTAGAGGGTAGAAGACCATTTTACCCTTGCTTGACTCAAAGTCCACATGTTGACCAAAACCCTAAAAGTCAACAAAAGTCAACATTCCAGTACGCGGGGCGTACATCGCCAACCTAGAAATCGGGGTCTCCACCCAGTACGCTGCGCGTACTGGGAGTTACGCCCAGCGTAACCTTCAGTTCTAAACACTCTTTATTTTTGGTCTTAATCGGTTAAGCCATTACTTCAACTTCTAGATCCAGCTTTATTTAAGCATCTTTACCCATAAACTCGAAACCTTTAAGCCTTGGCATGGCTGTAAAGGCTCCTACACTCCTTAACATCTTTCTATTCCAACTCAAGGATCTAGATCTCATGCATGGTTAAACATTCACATCCAAGATTACATTTTTATGAGTCTACAACTCAAATAGACCAGAAATATGATGGATCTAAGCTAATGGAGACCATTTGCTCATAAATTCTCCACCTTTGGGACCAAAACCCTAGAAAATGGAACTTAAGGCATATCACAAGAACTATATGTCAAGATCCGAACTTTTTACCTTAGTATGAAGCTCCAACCTCTGCAAAGCTCGGATATACCCTTGAACACCAACTCCTAGCCTTCCCAATGAACTCTTCTTCTTCTTTGCTACCTTGAAATGACACCACCAAGCTTAGAGCACTCACAAATGGACTTGGAACGAATAAACACTCTCTTAGGGTTTCTTTATGAGGGATGGTGGCTGAGGAGTCAAGCCAACACATTCCTTTTATAGCCAACCAAAATAATTAGGGTTTTTAGGTCTGGACCGGTTACGCCCAGCATACCCGAGGGTGAATGCGTTCAAATAAAGCGCGCGAGAACGCGCAACGTACTCGCTCATCATGCAAAACCCTAAATGGCTTAAATTAAAGATGAAGGGCTTAAATAAAAGGGTACCTGGATTTTGGGCTGTTACAATTGACCATTTCTTTCAAGGTACGGTTCTTTCTTTCAGCAATTCCATTAGATTCAGGTGAATAGGGTTATGTGAATTAATGGCGAATTCCATTTTAGCACAAAACTCAGCATAGGTAGAAACATATTCCCCACCCCTATCACTTCTAACCACTTTAATTCTCTTGTTGAGTTGATTCTCAACTTCATTTTTGTACAAGACAAACTTGTCTATTGCTTCATCTTTACTCTTAAGTAAATATATGTAGCAATATTTCGTGCTGTCATTGATGAATGTAATGAAGTATTTGCTCCCACCTTGAGTAAGAATTGACTTTAGATCACACACATCAGTGTGAATTAAATCAAGAGGTTCGGTGTTTCTTTTGATTGTTTGGAAAGACAATCTAGTTTGTTTAGCTTCAACACATGTGGGGCATTTGTGATTTGAGTCAATATTAAGTTTTGGTATGTATTCTAGTTTAATTAATCGCTTAATTGAATTGTAATTTACATGTCCTAAGTGACCATGCTAAACATTTGAACACTCAAGCAAATAAGCAGAACTAGAACTTTCATTATTCATTTTGTTTGTCACCATTACATTCAATTTCAACATGCCATTCAAAGCATATCCTTTTCCCACAAACATTCCTCTCTTTTGCTAAACTTATTCTCAAATACCCATATTTGAGTATCGATATCTCATTCACTTATACTGTATTTTGGACATATAATATATCGTTTCGAAGTCTTCATGGAGTAGAACACAAACCCACTTAGATTTTGTTATATATACATATATGTATATATAGGGTTATGTTCATGTGAGACGCCCTAATTTTGTGAGACCGTGAGACGCATTTTTTTTTTTAGTTAAATCTAGTTCTGAAAATAATATTTAAAAAAAGAATTTTTGGATTTTTCCATTTATTTTGCATTTTAAAATTATTTTTTAAAATATATCAGTGTAATATTCTATTTAGAATATTTCACGTATTTTTAAAAAAAATGGAATTTTATTTTTATTTTTTTAGTTAATTCAAGTTCCGAAAATAATATTTAAAAAAAGAATTTTTGGATTGTTCCATTTATTCTGCATTTTAAAATTATTTTTTAGAATATATCAGTGTAATATTCTATTAGAATATTTCACTTATTTTAAAAAAAATGGAATATTTTTTTATTTTTTTAGTTAATTCAAGTTCCAAAAATAATATTTAAAAAAAGAATTTTTGGATTTTTCCATTTATTTTGCATTTTAAAATTATTTTTAGATTTGGTCTTACGGTATTACAAAATTAGAATGGTTTCAAATGAACCTGAACCTATATATATATATATATATATATATATATATATATATATATATATATATATATATATATATATATATATATGGAAAAAGTAAATATACCGTTAAGGGTATATAAGCTTAGGTACCCAAAATCACTATAATTAGTTGTTTTATTTGATATATTAATTATAATTTATTAAATTTCAACTTTAACTTGATTTACTTTGAAGATTTTCGAAATTTCATTATTTTTTTCCTTTTATATCACTTCTTTTTGCCGAACACCTATTATGCTATATATATTAGAGTTGAAAATGAAAATTATGTAAGAGGAAGATAAATGTGAAATTTGTAAAAATCTTAAAAGTAAATAAAGTTAGAAGTTGAATTATAAGAACATTGGACAATTACAATGTACACATATGATACAAAAGAACATAGTATAGTGAATTTGTATACTTAAGCTTATATACCGTTAAGGGTATATTCACTTTTTCCATATATATATATATATATATATATATATATATATATATATATATATATATATATATATATATATATATATATATATATATATATATATATATATATATATCGTTTCCTATGAAAAATACCGTGTCATGCATGTTTTATATCAGATTGAGTCATTTTTATATAAAAAAAAAAAGACGATATTTTATATATCATGCTGT